AACTGTAAACTATCCCTACAAAACGGTCACAGATAAACCACAGATGGCCTCTAAAGAGCTTCAGGAATATTATGTCATTATGGCTAATAATGTCATTATACATCGTTCCACAGTATTCTTCACAAAGAACATCTTGATGGAAGGTGACGCAGACGAAGCCTTTTCTGCATTCTGCCAAAGAGAAGAGTCGATTGAGGTATGCAAAGGCTCATCTGGACAAGCCTCAATCATTTCGGAAAAATGCACTGTGGACAGATGCCACAACCATGGACCAAGAACACAGCACACACAGGAGAATTACCTGCTCCCTATTGTAAAATATGGTGGAGGCTCCATCATGCTCTGAGTAGCCTGTCACTGGAAAGATTGTCAGAGTTAAAGTTTGCATGGATTCTACCCAGTATCAGCAGATTCTGAAGAACAATGTTCAGGAATCAGTGAAAAAGCTGAAGTTATGGCAGGGTTGGATGTTTCAGCAAGACAACGCCACAGTACCAAATCTACCAAGTAATTCAAAGCACCTGAAACTACGAATACTGGAAGCCTGTGTTAGAATTTTTCCTAGGGTGTTGCTATCAGTGTGTGAAAAGTGGGAGAAGAGGGTTGCATTGACAATCTAATGTAATGGACAGTTCATTGAACACATTTTATAAGCGGTCAGACACTTGTAAATAACTCATGAAAGATTAAAGTTAAAACCAAACACACCATTGTTTTTCTTGTGAAATTCCTAATAAGAGTGCTATGTCAAATGACCCTCTTCCTATTGAAAAAACAAAAGTTGGATCCAAGATGGCCAACTTAAAGGGTCACGAAACACCAAAACACATTTTTTGAGCTGTTGACAGTCGTATATGTGTCCCACACTGCTAAAAACACTATTAGGACACCTATATTTCACTAAAAAGTGTAAATTGGTTGTTTTTGCGTTATTTCAAGCAAATTCGTACTTCCGGTTTGAAACAAATTTTTGAAGCTGCGTCACGGCCATGACATAATAGCGTTGTATTCCTGCATGCAGACTGAATGTCTGTGCCAGAGTGAGTCTTATTACGTCTTACAGTGTGTTGCATTAATGCATGAGTAAGGCTTGGTTCAAACCAATCAGCGCGCTCTATTTTGCAACTTTATTAATATTCATTACTGTCAGAGTGTAGACGGCAGAGACACAACGTTGTATTGGCAAAACAAGCGTGAAGTGTTGCTTTTATAGTTTGCTGCAGTTAAGTTTTGTTTTCATTTTCTCTCTGTGAGAGCGCAGACTCACGTGTGGATTAACAGTGTACGCGACGCGTGTCCAAGGAGGATTATTGTTTACCTGAGAGCTGGATTCGCTTGTAGTCTCCTCTAAATAAAGACGCGGCTCTAGTTGCTGTGGATTGTCCTGTCTCTACAGATTTGGTAAGTGAGCGACCAGTGCTCTTTGTTTATTCAGTTCGTATTTTATTTGTATTAAACAAACTATTGCACCGAGTGTAAACAAGTTAGCACTAACAGTTACAACCAAACTATAACCTCGTGTTGGATTTTGTGACCGGAATAACACACGCGGCTTTCTGACACTACCTGCCGTGTGCATCTAAGTTTCCGGGAAATGCTGAGTTTTTTTTTCTCTCATTCGCCGTGCGGTATCAAACATTGCATGAAAAATACACGCTTAGAGCAGTTCCTCGAATCAAATATCACGTTTGTCGGGAGGGACATGAATGAAAGTCCACCATTTAATAATTTGGCAAATAATTCGACTACAGATGTCCATGTAAACACTGTCACATTGTCCGCTGTGGTTGTGTGTTTTGACTCTGAAATTCAGCGCGCCCAAATAGACACTCCCACACCAAGCCTCTTTTCTTCCTCCGACACTCCCCCCTAAACAGAGCTGGACACGCCCACTTTTCTGACTTTTTCCAAAGTAGAGGTGTGAAAACACCCTGCTGAAACGAGGGGGTTTCATGGCCCTTTAAAATAGCCACCATGGTCACCACCCATCTTGAAAAGTTTGCCCCCTTAAAAATACTAATGTGCCAAAAACAGGACTTTAATATCACCAAACATTCCCATTTTATTAAGGTGTATCCACATAAATGGCCCACCCTATTTATGTGTGTTTTGGGTTCAGTGTTTGTTCAAACAAGATTTTTATTTCTAATTACAAAGAGGTTTGCACAAGAGGTAATGCAAGCTGTAAAAACACAAAATGTTGCATCGGTTGACATTGGATGTGTTAATTTGGCTAAACTAAAACAAACTAAACCTATACAATCTAAACTACAATATTAAAACAATCTAAAACTAAACTGAAATGTACAATATTTTTAAATAGCATAAAAAGTAACAATGCAAAACTAATAAATCCAGCAAAATAGCAAAACAACATCCTTAAAAAAAACATAATCCTTTAGTAATTCAGGTTGAATATTTTGACATTATTGCACAGTGCTAATTTCAAACAATATACTGACATACTGATAAAACTTGTTGAATAAAGTCATTATTTTTGTTTTGGTTGCCCAAAAATATGATCGTAGCATAATAATATTCTGATTGAACCACTTTAAAGCATATGGTCTGGTTCGAAGATATTTTGGTCCCTTTCTGGACTTTAAGTATGTCAGGAATCCTTCCATCTATTAAAATGTGGGAGCTCAGATTTCACCTAATATATCTTAATTAGTGATCTTGAAAGAACACAAGGTCTCATGAGTTTAGAAAAAAAAATGACAACATTTTCATTTTAGGGTGAACTAATCCTTAAAAGTCTTTGTGATTTATTGTGTGATCTTTGAAAGCGACGTTGATGTGATTTTGTAAGCAGTTTTGATTTTTGACCCAATTAATTGTCGTACTGACACCGCTTCTATATTGCCCTTTTATCGTTTGTGTGCTAACTCCATAAATAATTTGTAAATAGTAAAGGCTAGGGAAGGTAGGGAGATTGATGTCATGTTTTGTTCATTGCAATCTCTTTTGGTCTCTGCTTTTGTTAGAGAGTTAGGCCCCGTTTACACTAATGCGTTTAGTTTGAAAATGCATAAGTTTTGCTACGGTTATGCCATCCGTCCACACTACGCTGGAGTTTACGAGCGACGAAAACAGAGCGTTTTGGAAACGCTAGAGAGCCCGTTTTCATTCTAAAATGCTGCTGCTCCATCTCAGTGTGGATGAAGGAAAACGGAGACATCTGAAAACGAAGGCGGGGCTGCCGAGATTCGCTAGCTGATTGGGGCTTTTGTGTCATTGCGTATCCTTCCCTTATTCGTCAAGCCCCTATCACATGACTATAACACATGGTTTTAACGCTACCGGAAGACAACAGACCAGCCTTCACTGTAAACAACAACATGGACACAGAAATGGGAGCGTTGTTTGCACTATTGTCTGTTTTAGGCGCCATTGTGCAGTTAAACTCTGCCGTTTTACAACAGCAACGGCATATATTCGCTAGAACGCGCATGCCCAGAGGGCGCAAATGGTCACGTGATATACGTTTTTTGGTGGTGTAGTGTGGACAGTGATATGTTCAGAAATCATTTTTGATCTAAAACGCCGTTTTCAAACTAAAACGCACTAGTGTAAACGGGGCCCTAGACAAACATACTGCATTTTTAATTTATTTCCCTGGTCAGCTCCTGAAAAGATTTCTTTATTTGCCTATTGGAATTTTTCATTTATCGTTAAATCCTTAAAAAGATCTCCTGCTTCCACTCTCTCATTTTATGTTGTGTCCTTCGGCCCTAGACAAAACATAACCCTTCACAGTTTTTTATCTAAATTCTTGGAACCCGACTTCGCCCAGTGTTCAGATTGTTGTGCTTGAAATATATATGAATAAGCAAATAGTTAATGAAATGATGCAACATTTCCATATTTTAACACTAGAACTACATATACAATCCTTTTGAATTTTGTACATTTAATATAGTAAAATCCTATATTACTACATTAACCTGGCTTCTATTCATGTAAATATTTTATTCAAACATTGTTTTTTCATTAAAATTTAAACATAATTTTTTTTATTATTATTTCTTCCTTGAATTAGTATAAGGGTCAAATTCAGCATCCAGTACTTTTCCTATGGCTTTGTACATGCATGCCTTTGCTAAAAAAATAAAATAAATTATAACAAAAAAAAATAATAAATAAATAAATAAATAAATAAATAAATAAATAAATAAATAAATAAATAAATAAATAAATAAATAAATAAATAAATAAAAAAAAACAACCCAGGCTCATTCTGATTACGTATACCCATACACATTTCTGGAGAGTGCCAAATACATCCCAGGAGCTATGTTTTTTTTGCAGTTATTTTTTGCCCTTTGTTAGTCTTATCTGCTTTCTTGAACCTTTTTTCACCAGACTCGAACCTTGTCGACAAAGTCAACTCTGCTCTGCGTCTCAAATTCTTTAACATACGCTATGGATAAATCGCCGATGTAAGCGGTCAGCTGGTAAAGCGAAAAGGAATGGAATGATACCGCGTAGCATTTGTTTTAAAGATTAAGTACAGCCATACTCTAGCTACATAATTCGCAATCTCTGGAAATTTATAGGGTTACATTTTCAGAAGGAGTCTATGTTGAACAAAACATTTTTTGATAGCAAAACCAAAACTTTACTTAAAACATATTTCAAAACAGCATTTTTACATCGATTAAAACCCCTCTCTTACTCATGGGCAGTCTAATAACTCATACACGATTATACTTTTAGAGTAATGACTTCAGAAATTATGACAACAGACATTAAAAGCTTCATTCGAAAACTTCAATAGAAGCTTTTAATGTTAAACATGATGTAATTAAAATTGAATCCGGTGTGTTACAGTAAATATCAGAAAGTCAGAATGACCCCAATGATCATTCTAGTAGTTATAGCATTCCAATAGTTTCAGACAATTGTCATTAAGAATAACTTCAATCTGAATCAACACGATCAGTTCTACGTTCAATGCACTAGCCATTTAATTTCCACTAAATTATAAGGAAACTCACCTGGTATGAAGAAGAGCAGCGTAGGCCTCACTTCCAGCCAGGACATAACTGATCCCGATAGACACACTGTTGAAGACAAAGTTTCTTGTCAGCACTTATTTCAATAACCACAGTTTTAAACCCCGTTTATCAAACAGAACATTCCATTGCACCAGCATAAAGATGGACAGTGACAATAAATCTTTAGAAGGTAAATTGTTCAAGTTTTTGACAAGTTAATCTTAAGAATCTTATTCCAAAACCAATAAAAATATGTTGAATTTAATGAAATCATGCACATACACACACATTTATATCACATTTACAGTGTTGGGCAAGCTACTTGACAAATGTAGAGAGCTAAGCTATTAGCTACTCAAAATGTAGCTTAACTACACTAAAGCTTTCCCCGGGGAAATGTAGCAAGCTAAGCTAAAAGCTACATGGCAAAAGTAGCTTAGCTACATCTAAGCTATTTTACAATTTTCATTTTTAAATCGAAGCAACTTAAATCCAAGTCAATCATATCTTAGTGATCAATAATATTAGTTAATAATATTCAATAATAGTTCAGTTCAATTATTTACTGTAAATAATATGCTGTACTAAACAGAAACACATTATAGTATATAACAGCTAAAACAAAAAATTAAATAAAACCAGGTGGTACACATTTAAAATATATATATTTTTTTGTAATAAGCATTATAGGTGTTATAAATACTAAAGTATTTTTATTTTTTGAGCACAGCATCACACATTAAGTTATTGCATCTTAACATGTACTTCTCGAGCTATGGTCACAAGGAATCCTGCTTCAGAAATAACTTCTCTCCCTCAGTCATCTTTCCATCAAGCAAGTTTCACCAGAGGTGTCAGTAACGCACCAAAAAGTTTGTTGTCGAACACCATGAAACAGGAAGAAGAAGAAATCATCCTTCTCCCTATCATATGGATTTACTTCCAACAGCTAGGCACCGGCCTCACAGCTCAGTGAATGTCGGTGCCGTCACTTTTTGATCCACGATCTGTAAATGTAGCTTGTGTGGACGCTACTGCGCTAATTGACTAATAAAATATCTTCGCTACTGAAAAGCTATTTGATTTAGAAAGTAGTGACGCTACAGCCTCGCTACTGAGAAATGTAGTTAAGCTAGTAGCGCCACTACTTGTAGCGACGCTACTGCCCAACACTGCACATTTATCAGTGGTCCCTAACTTGGGAATCGAAAAACAGATTTTATGTAAAGAATAGTACAAATAAAGAAGATACCAATCTGAAAGTAAAACAAATTACTAACTTTGCAGAATAAATCAAAATTTCAAACAAAAACAAAATTTTGTGTAAGTATCACCTACTGTTAGAAAGTGGGACAACATTTTCAGTCTGCAGTTCTTGTTCAGATCGTAGACATAATTATATAAAAGCAAAAGCTAGCATGCAATTTCAAACATTAGGTGGAAATAAACATTGTCCATTCTAAAAAAAACAATAAGCATCGTAAATGCACTGATACAAATGATTACACCAAATTATTCATTAGTTAATTTTTCTTCAGCTTGTTCAGTAACCCATTACTGAGAAACATCCTTAAACTCTTATTCACACAAATAGGGCCCTATCATATACCCGGCACAATGCGGCTCAGGGCGCGACGCAATTATTGTTTGCTAGTTTCATTTGGCGCAAGAGTCATTTTGATGTTTTGTGCATGCTGTTTAAATAGCAAATGCATTTGCACATATATGGTAGCCATGGCGTTCTGGTCTAAAAAAGGAGGCGTGTTGAGGCGCTTTGCTATTTTGAGGAACTTAAATAGATGGTTCAATAGATCAGATCAAAGCTGGTCTGTTGTCCAGCGCAGAGCGCGTTAGTTGTGCGCCTCGCTTACACATTGCTTAATACACACAGGATGTACAGAAATACACAAATATCTTTACAAATGAAAAAAAAAAATTAATATTAATATTAAAATATTACAAAAATTATTATTTTCTAGCCTACATAAATATAAAAAACATACTTTTATGCCTTCATCTCGTGGGGCTTTTTCTGTTTATTCATAACATTTTGCTTTTGTATAATGTTATCATTATTAGCAGTATTATTTATTATATGCATATTAATATTTGTTTGATTAAAAACAATCTTAGATTTGCCCACCTGTCAGTTTTGTTTTCCTTTTCTCTCTGTGAGAGCTCAGACTCACGTGTGGATTAACAGTGTACGTGACGCTCGACAACAATAACTTACGTGTCTAAGGAGGATTATTGTTTACCTGAGAGCTGTTCTCATCTGCAAACGCTGAATTCCGGATATGCTTGTAGTCTTCTCTTCATAAAGACGCGGCTCTAGTTGCTGGTGATTGTCCTGTCTCTACAGATTTGGTAAGTGAGCGACCAGTGCTCTTTGTTTATATAGTTTGTTCGTATCGAATTAAGTTAACTATTGCACTGAGTGCAAACTTGTTAGCACCGCATTTTGTGAACGGAATAACACACGCGGCTTTCTGACGCTACCTGCTGTGTGCATCTAAGTTTCCGGGAATTGCGGAGCTTTTTTTCTCATTCGCCGTGCGGTATCAAACATTGCATGAAAAATAAACGCTTACAGCAGATCCTCGAATCAAATATCGAGTTTGTCGCGAGGGGCATGAATGAATTCCCTGAATGAAAGAGCCAAACTGCAGTTAAAGTCCAACATTTAATAATCTGGCAAATAATTCAACTACAGATGTCCATGTAGGTTAAACACAATGACTGTAAAAAATACACCATCACTTTCTCGTGTGTGTATTTTGACTGAAACTCGCGCGTGCCCAAATAGACACTCCCACACCATCCCACTTTAGTTCCTCCGACACTCCCCCCTAAACAGAGCTGGACACGCCCACTTTTCTGACTTTTTCCAAAGTAGAGGTGTGAAAACACCCTGCTGAAACGAGGGGGTTTCATGGCCCTTTAAAGAGAATTTTTATTTTGGGTGAACATTCCATCACCGTTTACCCTCATATCTTCAAAACCTATTTGAGTTTCTTTCTTGTTAAACACAAAAGATGATCTTTTGAGAAATGCTTATTAAAAGATGATGTAAGCAGGTCATCAAAAAAATCGGATACAATCATAAAATCGGAATTGACCATCAAGCAGCCTTAGAGTGCAGTCATGAGGCTCAGCTGTGTCCTCTTCATTTTATGCCTAATACAGACTCATGCTGACCAATCAGAGCCTTTTGAGGGAGAGCTTTTGGGGGAACTAGGAAATATAACAGTCGTTTTCATGTTAGCTGAGTAGCAGTATATAATAAACAGATATATGAAATATTTACAAGTGAAGCATGAGCACACATAGCTTTGCATCTTATAAACACAAGCAAGCCTTAAAAATATAAATCCCCTTCAAGAATTAGCCCAATAAATAAACAAGCAAGCAAAGAAAAAAAAAGAGTTTTCAGAATATTTTTCATGCACAAATTGAACAAGCATGTCACGTTCAATGTTAAATGCTGAAGCTCTTGCGTCAGTCAAACTAGCATATCTAGCTGTAGGTCAGAGTGAAAGAACAAATGAAAAAGACATGGCTGGAGGGAAAGAGAAACCTTGACTTGCACCATCACACAGGACAATGGAGTGTGGATCTGTGCTCCTTGACTGGTTATAGAACACAATCTGTCATGGAAGCACATTGATCAAGTGCTAAGCCTCTTGAACACAATGAGAAGTAAATCGATTGGATATGTGTTAGCCAAACCTGTCTAAAGGCTGATAACAAGGCTCTTTTCCATTCAGTTGCATGAGCGGGAATGCAGAGCGGTGCAACAAATGATGCCCTGTTAAGTGTCAAAGACATTTCTCATTAATGACCGCTGATGCTCCGACTGCCTCGCTGCACTTGATAAAAACCCAAACAAAACTCACGCAGTTTTGATTTCTGTCTTTAGTTTTGCAATATCATCCATAGAGGACGCAGGTAACAGTGCTCACAATGCCAAAGGGGGCAGAACAAATCGATTTTGCTTGAAAATCCATCAAAGAGTTTGATTTACGCTTGTTAAAATTTTATTTAAAGTCTTTTGATTACTCAAAAACTTTATGTTGGCATTAAGTAAATAAAGAAGTGAAAAATAAAGTTATGGGATTTATTAACAACTCATATAAAAGCTATTTATAAAATCTATTTATTACATTTTGTAAGGACTTGGACAAAATCAAAATTGAGTTAGTGCGACACAATCTCACAGCAATTGTCAGCTTTTTGATTAATTGCCTATTGATTAAATAATTGATTATTTGATTAAAATTTGATTAATTGATTAATAATTGATTATATAAACTCACCGGCCACTTTATTAGGTACACCTGTCCAACTGCTTGTTAGGGTAAATTTCTAATCAGCCAATCACATAGCAGGACCACTTTTTTAGACATTTTTTGAGGATTTAGTTTTATTTAGTTTTACATTTTATAGGATTTAGACATTTAGGCATAGTCAAGACAATCTGATGCAGTTCAAACTGAACATAAGAATTGGGAGGAAAGGTGATTTAATTGACTTTGAATGTGGCATGGTTGTTTGTGCCAGACAGGCTCGTCTAAGTATTTCAGAAACTGCTGATCTACTAGGATTTTCATGTACAACCATCTCTAGGGTTTATAGAGAATGGTATCCTGTGAGTGGCAGTTCTGTGGGCGCAAATGTTCAGGCTGCAGGTGGTGGTAGTGTAATGGTGAGGGGGATATTTTCTTTGCACACTTTGGGTTCATTAGTACCACCTGAGCATTGTGGCAATGCCACAGCCTACCTGAGTGTTGTTGCTGACCATGTCCATGTCTTTAAGACCACAGTGTACTCATTTCCTGATGGCTACTTCCAGCAGGATAACACACAACGTCATAAGCGCGAATCATCTCAAATTGGTTTCTTAAACATAACAATAGGTTCACTGTATTCAAATGTACCTAATAAAGTAGGCAGTGCATGGGCGTAAATTTGTAAAATCAAATTTGTAAATTTTAGTATGATTTACTTTTCCCCAATGAGTTGGGTTTAAGGGTGGGACTTAAGGACATGCCTCCTCTTAAAAATAT